ACACACACACACACACACACACTCCACAAGGACGCACTCTCCACACTGGAGAGCGGAACTGGGGTAGGAAGTCAAAGCTGAGCCACTCACTCTCATCCTCTCTCTCTGTGATGAACTGCTTGTTTTCTTTCTTCTTGTCAGTGCGAGTCTTGCAGTTCGCTGCCTGTTCAGAGCCCCATTGGGGACATTCCTGATGTTGCCCAAGGAGAAGGAGGCCAGGATGACATCCACTCAGAGAGAGAGAGGAGACAGACAGGAGAACCTTCATTCACGCAGAGAGAGAGGAGACACAGAGAGGAGAACTCTCATTCACACTGGGAGGAGATACAGACAGGAAAATCTTCACTCAGAGAGAGGAAAGACAGGAGGACATCCATTCACAGACAGAGAAACAGTTCCCACAGTATGGCTGTTTGCATTATATAAAGAACAGCCTCCTGCACTAGACTGGGCTATGTTGGTGTCTGCTCGGGACTGTGCTGGGTGTTTACTGTCTGAGCCAAAGCTGTCTGGTAATCATGGCAGCCTTCTCTGTGGGTGAGCAGCAGGTAAAGTGTTGTGGTGGGGCTCAGGAAGGTGTGCAGGGAGGGGATGAGGGGTTGCTATAGAAACAGTGTCCCCATAGCGAGGCAGATGTACAGTGACATCACGGTAGCGATTCCCACAGTAACAGACTGACTTAGCCACTCCGCTGGGAACATTCCACCATGACTCTCCCTGTTTTCTCTACACGTCTACCTCTTATCTGCCACTGACTCCCTCTCTCCCTCTGCTTCCTCCCCTACCCCCTCACTCATAGTCGAGAAAAGTAAGACTCAATGGCTGAGGAGGTATGCAGCTACAAACACAATGACACAGGACTATGGAGAATCTGAATACACCCCCCCACACACACACACTTTACCCCCTGGGGGTTCGTCAGTCATCCCCATAGCGACAGGCAGCTTGCATTGTCACTGGGCCCGCCCACAGCTGCCTACTTTTTCACTGATCAAAGACAAAGACAGACACACAGCACAGGAAAGACACACAGAGCTCTGTGAAGGACAGACACACAGGACAGAAACACAGACACAGCTCTGGGAATAACAGACACACAGCACAGACAGAGCTCTGTGAAGGACAGACACACAGCACAAAAAGACAGACACAGCTCTCTGAAGGATAGACATAGGACAGAAAGACGGACACAGCTCTGTGAAGGACAGACACACATGACAGAAAGACAGACACAGCTCTGTGAAGGACAGACACACAGCACAGGAAAGACACAGGACACACAGACAGCCCTGTACAGACCAAAAAGATAGACTCAGGCAGCTACACGACAGACAGGTCTGTCTAGAATGAAAAATAAGGACCTACAAGACAAATACACAAACCTGTACCTGATAGACTCACAAGGTGCTGTTCATTTATGCCCTGTGAGCCAATGTTTTTTACGATTATTCATAAAGCACTTTTCCTCATTCTGCATCTTTCACAGAGCTGTGTCAGTCCTACTGTCCCGAAGACAAGAAAGCACACTGTCTGCAGTACAGAACCTCCTCACTTAGACTGGCCATTCAGAGGGACTGATGCCACACACTGCAGTTCAGGCAAGGTACAGTGTGTCTGAGAATACACTTTACTGTACAGTCCAGCAGGGCCATAACCAGACTCCCACTGCACAGCAGTCTGGTACATTCCAGGTGTTACTAGGATCTGCAGGCTTCTCACAGAGCGTCATCACTTGGGAATACAGATTTCACACTTGTGATGTGATTTGTGGAAAAAAAGAGCTCAGACAGGTGTGGTTAGTAGACTAAAAAATACTGTATATTTTCAGTGGTGCAAATAGTACAAAAACCTGCAGCTTAGAACACCTGAAATGGGTCAAACTGGTGTGTAATACAAATGTGATTGCTTTTCACGCTACAGTGAAAGGGGGTTTTCACTGTTGTATAGTACAATGTCTACATCTAAATTATATAAAAGTGCACAGTATCTAATGCATGTAAAAACTGTTACACTGTCTGCAGTACAGTATGACAGAGTCTATAGTATACTATCTACCATTCAGTGTCTACAGTACAGTGTAACACAACATCTATAGTATAGAATCTACAATATAGTATTTACAATGCAGTAAGACAGTGCCTATCGTATACTATCTACAATATAGTGACTACACTACAGTATGACAGTGTCTATAGTATGTTATCTATAATATAGTGACTACAATACAGCACAGTATAACAGTGACTATACTATAATATCTAAGATGTAGTGACAATGGTAAAGTAAGAGTGTCTATACTATAGCGTCTACAACATTGTGACTACACTACAATATGACAGCGTCTACAGTGTCTATAATATAGTGACTACAGTATATCGCAGTGTGAGTCTATAGTATAGTATCTATAATATAGTGACTACAGTACAGCACAGTATAACAGTGTCTATAGTGTATTATCTAAAATATAGTGACATTGATGATGTAATACACAGTGTCTATACTATAGTGTCTACAACGTCGTGTCTACAGTATAGTATGACAGTGTCTATATTCTAGTGTCTACAATATAGTGTCTACAGTACAGTATGACAGTGTCTATGTTAAATTAACTACAAAGTATTATCTACGGTATTAAGTGTCTTTAGTGTAGTGTCTGCAATATACAGTAAGACAGTGTCTACAATACAGTGTAACATTGTAGTGTCTTTAGTATCTAAAACATAATGGCTACAGTACAGTAAGACACTGTGTCTATAGTATAGCATCTACAATACAGTGTAACACAGTGGCTATAGTATAGTGTCACAGTATCTACAATATAGTGTCTACAGTTCATTACTGTCTACAGTAAAGGTACTGTAAGTGTATGAAACAATGTCTATAGAAAAGTAAAAAGGTCTAAAAATAGTGTTATGGATAAAGGGAGAACACAGTGTCTGTCAGTGTACCAGTCAGTAGAAAAAGACACCAGTGTTCTGCCTGTGCAATAAGTCAAAGTGGTCACAGTGTATGCAGTGTCTTTACTTACAGTAAAGATCAGTGTTTTCTGTGCAGTGTCTACAGTACAGTTTGGTGTGCACTGTGCAGTGTCTACAATACAGTTCGGTGTGCAGTATCTACAGTACAGTTTGGTGTGCACTGTGTAGTGTCTACAATACAGTTCAGTGTGCAGTGTCTACAGTACAGTTCAGTGTGCAGTGTTCAGTGTCTACAGTTCAGTACAGTGTGCACAGGGCAGTGTCTACAGTACAGTGTGCACTGTGCAGTGTCTACAGTTCAGTACAGCTCAGTGTTTTCTGTACAGTGTCTACAGTACAGTACAGTGTGCACTGTGCAGTGTCTACAGTACAGTACAGTACAGTGTGCACAGGGCAGTGTCTACAGTACAGTGTGCACTGTGCAGTATCTACAGTTCAGTACAGCTCAGTGTTTTCTGTACAGTGTCTACAGTACAGTACGGTGTGCACTGTGCAGTGTCTACAGTACAGTTTGATGTGCACTGTGCAGTGTCTACAGTTCAGTACAGTACAGTGTGCACAGGGCAGTGTCTACAGTACAGTGTGCACTGTGCAGTATCTACAGTTCAGTACAGCTCAGTGTTTTCTGTACAGTGTCTACAGTACAGTACAGTGTGCACTGTGCAGTGTCTACAGTGCAGTACGGTACGGTGTGCACAGTGGAGTCTGCAAGTCAGCGCTCTCCCGCCCCATCCTGTCCCGGTAGCGCCTCCTCTCCCCGCTGCCTCTTTAAGAGCCGCCCCGCGCGGGTCCCCTGGTCGCCATGGTGACGAACACCGAGCGAGAACGCTTCTCTGTCGGCCTCCTGACAGGCTGCGGGCGGGCGGAGGGGGGGTTCTCCTTTCTTCTCTCTGCGCGTCTCTCTCCCTTTTTTTCAAATTTTAAGCAGCTGGGAAGTGGAGCCGCAGAAAGCACAACAAAGAAAAAGACCCAAGTCGAGCTGCTACCTGCGGAGCGCGGCCTTCCAGGCGCTGACACGCGTGGGTTTCAAGATCGCTGCTTTGCAAGTTGCACGAAACATTTACCGACTGCACATACATAGGTGTTAAAAAGCATCTCTTTCTGTCGGACTGTGCCCTCCGTCACCCCTCCCTGGACACGGGACCGCCGCGGCCCATTTTAGAGAAGAAACTGGGTCAACTCACGGTCTTGGAGTCCAGCTCGTGTCTGGGCTGCGCCAGGACTTTGTCGACACCCGCCTGATCTACATAGGTGACGAACCCGAACCCCCTGCGAAAGAGAAGACGCGCTTAGCTCAGATGCGAGAAGGGGCCGGTCCGATTGTCGCCCTTAATGCTTGTGTTACAATCAAACGCCTTTATATTGCTGCTGGGAATCTGCAGGAGCTGATGAAGCACATTCTTCTCCGACAGAGCGGATAAGAAAAAGTGTTAAACTCCCGGGCCGCTGTGTTGTGGAAATTTGTACTCTCTTCTGTCTGGAGCCCGTTATGCCTCGAAATCGCACGGTTTTACAGAGTCGTTAGTCACAGCAGGATGCGCGGAGGGTGGGTTAGTGTTTGGGCCGGGGTCTGGCGCCCGCAGGCCGGGCCTGTGATAGGGCGGCTGGCCCGCTCACGCCCCCTCGCTCACCTCGATCGCTTTGTAACTGGATCTCGCATCACCATGCACTCCTTCAAGTCGCCGAACTTACTGAAGTACTCCTTCAGGCCCTCTGCAACACAGGCACAGACACAGAGTTAGTTCGCCGACAGAGGCGGCTCACGCACGCACCTGGACTTGTCCCAGTAACAACAGAAATACCCCGAGCGCCCCCCCTGTGCCCTGTCCCTCGGCCCTGAGCCTTGTCCGGGGGGGTCTCTCTCCGAAAACCAGAGAGAGGCGTTACACTGTAAGCAACACCCCCACAGGCTCGGGGAGCCGGGCTCGCACCCCCAGACTGCTGCCCTGAGAGAGGGGGACCCGACCGCTCGCAGCGTCCCGCGCTGAGCAGACCCCCAGGCGTGACACGGATCCGGGGGGCTCTTTCCCTCCTGCCCCGAGCAGGGGCGACAGACCCGGGGGTGCCTGTTTTTCAACTCTTTCTGCCCGGTTACCGGCGCCCGGCACGGCGGGGGGATCGAGGACTGAGCCATTAATCCGCGCTTCCAGCTCTGTTTGCTTAAACTACCCCAGACTGCGACCCGGCTCAAAGGGAGCTTTGATTCGGTCGCTGCGTGCTCGCCGGTCTCCGCTCTCCGCACAATAAGCGCCTTCTGGCAGAGCCCGGAGGGGTTGGAGCGAAACTCGCGCGGTGCGCTCCGTGTGCCCCCGACCTGCGCGGACCGGTGAGAGGAGCAGTCACCCCGGCGGGCTGCCCTCAATCTCAGTTTCTCTCTGCCGCCGCTCGCTGCAGACGCCTCACCTTGTGTTGTCTGCCAGCTCAGACCCCCGATGAACATTTTGCTGTGCAAGAGAAGAAAAAAAACCCAAAACAAAACAGGGTGAGAAACTGGATCGGATGATAACTGTAACAATAACAAATAATATCGCGCACGGAGAGCAAGTTTAAATATCGGCCATGTTGGCCGCACAGGTCGACTTTGTTGAAACTCGCTCGGGCCGCCGGACCGCTCTGAGTGGGTCCTGCCCTCGGCTGAGCAGCGTGGAAAGTTGCGAGAGCGGCGGTCCCCGCGGCGGAGCGGAGCCACGGCGGCAGCGCAGCTCCAGTACAGTAGGAGTACAGCACCGGAGCAGCGCGCCAGTCTTTGTGTGCGAGCAGCTGCCCTGTGCTGCCGGCCCGCTGCCCGCGGAGCGAGCAGGGAGCGCTGGGCTGTTACCAGGGGTCGTGGGGGGAGTCGGCGGACGACAGGCTGCTCTGGCTCCCTTCCGTGTCCATTCCTGCCTCCGTTCCCGTGCCGAGGGCCCGTAGAGTGTGCGGTGGGAGTGAGAGGAGAGCGAGCGGAGTGAGGGAGGAGGAGGAGGGGGGGCCGGGCCAGAAGGGCCTGTGTCTCTGGGAGGGACGAGCTGGGTTCACACACACAAACCAGCCAGGAGACTCCACCTCCCTCTCCACCTCTCCATCTCCGCCGCCCCTCTCTGACCCCTCTGACTCTCCGGCCTCTTGCTGCGCCGGACCGCCCAGATGGGCCAGAGGGAGATAGGCAGGAGCAGCTCACTGGGCTGCTGGAGCCGAGCCCACGGGCCAGCCGAGTCCAGCCTCTGACCCGCTGAGGTCAAGCGTGACCGACAAAGAGAGGAGAGAGACTGGAGAGACTGGAGAGAGGAGAGAGACTGGAGAGAGACAGGAGAAAGGAGAGAGACTGGAGAGACAGGAGACAGGAGTCTCTCAGGCAGAGTTAGCACAGCTGCCAGAATCACAGAGGGTCCCAATCCTACTGGGAGAGGGAGGATGGAACTCAGTTGAACTGGCAGCCCAGTATGTGATCTCCTGTCACAGCCTGAGGAACAGTGAGTCTGTCTCCCAATAATGCTCAATATATTTACAGTATATGTCAATATTTTGTGATATGTCTTTGTTGTAAATGTCTGTAATATGTAGATTTTATTTTTGTTTTGTTTCAGGTTAATTTTATTTTATTTGCTTTGGCAACACTGATTGTACCCATCGGTCATGCTAATAAAGCACCTTGAATTGAAAAAACAAAACTGAATTGACTGGAGAGAGACAGGAGACTGGAGAGAGAAGGAATGACTGACAGAGTGGTGGAGTGACTGATTGACAGAGTGAGTGTCAACGTGACTGCTGAGTGACTGATTGACAAAGAGACTGACTGAGAGAGTGACCAGCTGAATTAGTGACTGTGACTGAATGGCTGATTGACTTAGTGCAGACAAAGTAGAGTGGCAGAGGAAGGTCACTCCTCCAGAGGAGGAGCCAAGGAAGGGGGTGGGCTTGTACAAGACATGCCTCCATCCAGGCACACCCGCCCACTCCTCACCCCCACCCAAACTACAGTTGTGCTTCACCTATATTACATAGTTGTGTCCCCTGAAAAAACACTGCTGGCCTTCTACCTCCACGCAGGTGCCACCCACACACCGGTCACACCCCTGCCCTGCCCCTGCTCCAGCAGGACTGCACCACCCTCCGTGTGGCCCAGCACCCTCCTCCCAGTCCTGCCCGCACAAGGGTAAGCTCTGTCTGGTCCAGCCCTGCTCGAATCCCACCCCAGGCTCGTCCCTCTCTCTTGCTTCGCCGGGCAGAAGAAGGCATCTGCAGCACTGCCTGTGCAGCTGAGGTCAGTGCGTATTCAACCCAGGCTGTTCTGTGGAAGAGTCACAGCTGGAGAGTGGTGTGGCCACTTCATCAACACACGATGCCAGCAAACATCACGTATGTGTAGAATTTACCATGCAGGTTTATGATCTCTGTTTGTCATGCTAGGTCACAGCTAGCTGTTGGGACTTGCCATCCTTTCAACAGAACGAAATGGTCAGCACTGAAGGCCGACCCTGTGAAGGCAGCGGTCCCTTCCTGTCCCCAGTGCTGGTGAGTGAGAGACTGGAAGAGCTCTAAGCACCCCAAGCCCTGGAAGTGTGAGGACACTGGGAGAGAGTGGCTCCAGTGCATCAGAATAAACCTGACTGGATGCAGAAGTTGCCATTTGGAGACGCACTCTGGCATTCCTCCAGTAGTGTTGGTACATTGATGGAGCAACTAATAAACACAGTGATGGAAAAGACAATACATGTTTTCAGCAGTGTAGAGTTGCACCACAGAGGGTAAAGAAAGAGAAATCAATTTGTTGACCACTTACTGACCATTTATTTAAAAGAGACACTGCCCATCTCATGATGATGCAATACAGGGGCTGTAGTGCAAGTTGTGTGAAAGAAGAGAAGAGGACAAACTTGTGTAGTGCTGGAAAGACAGGAGCCAAGCTGTGTCCACCCAGTCAAGCCGTTAGCTGCGGGTCATTAAGGAGCTGGGCCGCTAGGAAGAGCGGATTAGTGGGATAATAGGATTGTGGGAGACTGTGCTGCTCCTGGGGCTGCCCACAGCGGACACTGAGACCCCCACCACGCCACACCGCATCTGCCTCCTTCATGAAGGAATAAATCGACCTGCTAATGAAACAAAACTAATTATAAAGGAAAAATGGAACCATATGGTGCACAACTCCCTCCTTTGACTAATCTGCCTGATTCTGTCTCCACTAGAGAACCGGCACAGCACTCTTCCTCTAGTGACTGTCTCTCTCTTTCTCTGTCATTATTTATCTTTATGGCAACAAACTTTACTGACACTTTCTCTGTCTTAGACACTGAGCTCTGGTGTCTCTGTCTTAGACACTGAGCTCTGGTGTCTCTGTCTTAGACACTGAGCTCTGGTTTCTCAGTCTTAGACACTGAGCTCTGGTCTCTCAGTCTTAGACACTGCACACAGCGTTGCTGGTTTCACTCACTGTCTTTACTTCTTTGTGCCAACAAACAATTCTGAAGCAATCTTCAGTTGAAATTGTAGCCATCTTGTTTTTAACACTGAATCCTCATGGATCTGCACTGTTATTCGCAGATGTGTGGAGAAACAAATAATGTGAATGACAAGGAGCCCTTGACAAGGGGTCAGTAAGACTTGATTGGGAAATATGGGGGATGAGCTGCTACAACACTTCATATTGGCTGTCTGAGGGCTGAGATCAGTGTGAACTGCAGTTGCTAAATGACAAGCTGGGTCTCCTGTCACCCAGACCCAGCTCTGTTCATAATAGTCACAGTTGCTCTAATAGTGGGAAACACCTAATTGCTCTTTCTCCTGACATACATGCAGCTGTCTGTGGTTTTGAACCAAAGGTTTTTTATAAAATGGTAATAACAGCACAGTATTAGAAAATGTCGTGATCTCGCGGTGTGAGAGAGGACAGAGGCCAGGACAGTCTCGCGGTGTGAGAGAGGACAGAGG